CCCGACGCTTCATTAGCAGCAGGGAGGCCGATACACGCGGGAAACAGAAGGAAATCGACTTTTCAACCCGAGTTCAACCCAGTGTTTCGAATAGTTTTTTTCCTCAATGTTTCTTTTTGAGGACTGATTTTTCGGAAGTGTTGGTGACGCTGTTCCCTTCTCGAATCCTCGTGAGCACGCGGCCCGTCCCGCGCGGCACACCGTTAGCGATCGCCACGGCGGTCCGCGCTCCGGCAGCGCTCGCAGGGCAATAAGCCTCGTCCTGCTCCTTTTTCCGGGACGGGTCATTTGTCAAGGACCGGGCAAGAAGTCGCCATGCACCCCTCGGCCTGCCCGGCCCGCGCACAGTGAGCCAGAAGACCGGCGAAGGCGGCCAAACCTCCAGATGCGTTGAGCTCCAGAGTCGCTGAATGGGACTCGAACCGAACGTGTGACCCCACCAATGGATTCCTCGTTCGGAGAGCAATCCATTGGTGGGGTCACACGTTCGGTTCGAGTCCTGTTCAGCGACTCTGGAGCCCAAAACGCGTCCGGGATTTTGGCCGCCTCCACCGGTCTTCTGGCCCACTGTGCGCATGGGGGCAGCCCGCCGCGGTATTCCCTGCATGCGTCACCCGCCTTCGATCGGGCTGCGGTTTGCGGCCTGCTCCCGCGACACTGTAGTCAGTCCGGCACTGCGGACGCACGCGAAGGAAAGTCGGGCGTCCTTGTTCTTTTGCCTTTCGGGGCTCCGGAGGTCTCCGGGGGGCTCCGAGCCCGGCCTGGCGGCCCGGCCTGGCCACGGACACGCACTGGCGGCACAGACTGCGCGCGAGGACGTGCTGGAACTGGATGGCCGTTGCGTGCAGGGGGCTACTCTCCCAGCGAGAGGACACACTCAAACAAGACAAGAGAGGACTAAAATTATGCCAAAAAAAATCACAAAAAAAATCACAACCTGTTTCCATAATTCTTTTAAATGTTAAAAAAATTGTTTTTAATTTAATTTAAACATTAAAAAAACTTTCAAAAAAAAAATTTCCACTGTTTTTTTTTATTGAAGTGTAACACAAAAATTGGTTATTTTTTCTATACTTTTTTTTTTAAAACAAAGACGGCCGCACTGCTGCAAAAAAATTCCCAAAAAGCAGTGCGGTACAGGCTGAGGAAAGGGAAAGGGGGGGGGATATCCCTCTAGCGGGTCGTCGAACAGGCGGCAAGAAATCTCGGCCTGATTGATTGCTTCCGATTGAGGCGGCGTCGTTGCCCGCGGCGCCCCGACAGCGTCGCCCCGACACGCATGCACGCCGCCGGCGTCGCCGCCTCCGCGCCTTTTTTCGCCCACTTTTTCGGGAATATCCTCCTCCTTCCTCCTCCGGCCACTCTGCCCGATAGTGCACAGTGGGCCAGAAGACCGCTGGAGGCGGCCCAAAATCCCGGACGCGTTTTGAGCTCCAGTCCAGAGTCGCTAAATGGGACTCGAACCGAACGTGTGTGACCCCACCAATGGATTGCTCTCCGAACGAGGAGTCCATTGGTGGGGTCACACGCTCGGTTCGAGTCCTGTTTAGCGACTCTGGAGCTCAAAACGCGTCCAGAGTTTCGGTGTTCTGGCCCACTGTGCGGTGTCGGAAGCGCGGGCCGCCGCGGGCAAGAACGACGCATCGAAGAGGCTCGTCTCGGGGCTCATCACCGTAACGAGGCGGCACTACACCAAAAGACTGTCCGGCCGGACTTTCTCCTTCTGGACAACATTCAGGGAAACATGCGCCGCCGCCTCCGCTGTCTGTCTGCCTGTCTGTCTGTCTGTCCGTCCGTTCGTCCGCCCGCGTGCCGCGATACGTCACGCGACTCACGGTCAGTAAGGCATTGGAAGGGCGCACTCGTGACCGAGTCGTATCGGCTGCACGGCTGCCAACTGCGCGAAAAAACAAACAACAACAACAATGGTGCAGGCAGCAACGGCCCTGAGACTTGGCCTGGCGCCTGCGAGGTAGGCCGCGCGGCGCAGGACTGCTCGGCGGGTTTGCCTACCCCGACCTTCGCAGGCGCTTGCGGCACGGCGGCAGGGAGGCGGAAAAACGCAGGGAAGCCAAAAAACGTATCCCTGTCACTCGAACCGGACGTGTGACCCCACCAATGGATTCCTCGTTCGGAGAGCGATCCATTGGTGGGGTGACGCGTCCGGTTCGAGTCCCATTTAGCGACTCTGGAGGTCGAAACGCGTCTTGGGTTTCGGCCGCCTCCACCGGTCTTCTGGCAAGTCCACTGCGCCTCGGCGGCGGCAGGAGCATCCTAGCAGCTAGATGCCATCTGCCGCGCGAAAAAGTGTCCGGGCACGTGCCGACTGGCCGACTGCGCTTTCGCCGCCAGATGCACCATCTGCAGATGCGCCAGCTGCGCCATTACCCTCCACTGCGGTCGGCGGGGCGGGGCGGGGCGGGGCGGGGCGGGGCGGGGCGGGGCGGGGCGCGGTGCCCCCTTCCTGGTCGGTCGCATCGGGACCAGGGACTGCAGGGCCCGGAATCGGACTCCAATCACTCACGGCAATCAGGAGGCGCTCCGGCAACGCGCAGGGGAGGGGGAGAGAAGGGGTGGGGGGCGTCCACCACACCCGCACTATCGAGGCCAGTCGTTGTAAAGGGGTTGCCGGCCAATCACACTGATCATCGGTGTCAGTTATGAACTCAAGGGGTTCAGTTACCGGCCTGATAATCAAGCCCCTGTGTGTGAGAGCTTGTTTGTGTGTGTGTATGTGTGTGAATGTGCGCGCGCGCGTACCTAATACTCCCCTTCGGTCAATTCCCTCTAGGTGCCAGTGCTTCCCCCCCCCCCTCTCTCTCCCTCACACACACACACACACAACACACACCGGATTCTATGCACCTTCTGGCTGCCGTGGCACCACGTACTGCAGACGCAGTAACTCCTCAGCGACTGCCATTGCAGCCAAAGAGGATGCACCAAGCGTCATTACGTGATCGAGGGAGAGAGAGGAGGGGAGGGAGAGGAAAAGAGAGAGGGAGAGAGAGGGAGAGGGAGAGAGGAGAGAGAGAGAAAGAGAGAGAGAGAGACGCTCTGTCATCGGCGTGATTTCAACACGTGGTTAATGACAATGACAGATTCGGTGTGCAGCTGGTCCCGGTGGTGGTCGTCCTCGCCGACCTCGTGGTCGTCTTCATCGCGATCCTGGGCGCGCTGCCCCGAGACGCGGTCCGCCCCGTCCCAGTGGTCCCAGTGGTCCGGGTGGCGGACAAGCCCCTCGTTACGCCGCTAATTACTCCCCCAGACAATTGGCAAAGAAATTCCGTCTTCTCTCTCTCTCTCTCTCTCTCTCTCTCTCTCTCTCTCTCTCTCTCTCTCTCTCTCTCTCTCTCTCTCCCCCTCTCTGTCTTTCGTGGCGTACGGCAAAGTGCGACGCGACGAGTGAGACAGACACAGAAGAGGCGACAGACTTGCAAATGCAGGCGAGGGCGGTGAGGCTGGACGAGGCTCGGCCAAGGCGCGCAACGCGTGTCCGGCAGCCTTACGGGCCTTACAGGCCTTACGGTGTCGCAGCGGCCGGGCCGGCGCCTTGATGGATGACCCGCGGGGAGATTGATCGAACACAATCAACCGCAAAGGGTCGCCTTCGGTCGCCGCCAACTCAATCGCAACGGCGCACAGTGGGCCAGAGGACCGGTGGCGGCGGCCGAAACTCCAGACGCGTTTTGAGCTCCAGAGTCGCTGAACAGGACTCGAACCGAACGTGTGACCCCACCAATGGACTCCTCGTCAGGAGAGCGATCCATTGGTGGGGTCACACGTTCGATTCGAGGACCAATCAGCGACTCTGGAGCTCAAAACGCGTCCGGGATTTGGGCCGCCGCGAGAAGTTAACACTGTCGCGACGCGGGGGAAATTCGAAGTGACGCGCGGTAGACTCCGGCAATTTTCTCGAGGAAAAACGGCGCGCGCCGAGAGCCGTGACGTCACCACAAAGAGGGGCACTCCAGCGGCGGGGCGGCGGGGGCCCCGGCCGGGGCGGTGGGGCCGCATGGCAGTGGCGCTGCGCGCTGCGGGCCGGGGGGCCTTTCGGCGACGGTAACTCACGGGCACCCCCTTTCACGTGAGAAGTCGCGGCCGGCTTAAATCTCCATCCCGCTGAACGCTCCTCTGCCGTGTTCGTGTGTGTGTGTGTGTGGTGTGTGTGTGTGTGTGTGTGTGTGTGTGCCGGGCCATTTCCAAGCCCAGCAAGGCTATTTCAGAGCGACAATCCTTTTTCCCACGGACTGCAATGCAGCTATTGTCATCTCCAACGTGAGGTGGGTACGCCTGCCCCACGCCCGCCCCAGCCCCCCCCCCCGCCCCGCCCCACGGTGGTATTGGCATCCACTCCCCGTGCTGCACTATCTCTGTACGCCTCCACGGCCGCGGCGGCACGGAGGCGGCAGGCCGCTTTTTCCATCTCTCTCTCGCCTTCTCGGTCAGTGTCACGCTGCGGCGTTATACTCCGCCTCTCTCTCTCTCTCTCTCTCTCTCTCTCTCTCTCTCTCTCTCTCTCTTCTCGGCGGGGTGGTTTGACAGCGGTACGGAAGCGAGCGGCGATAGGGTGTGCCCTATCAGGGGCTCCCCTCCCCTCCCCGCGCCCAGAGCGGCGCCCTCGGTGCCCCCAGAGGCAGATTAAGCGATGCGAGAAAAATACCTCTCTCGGCACACCGCAGGAAATGGCCCCGGGCGCGACGCGGCATATCACGCCCCGGTAGCTCAGTCAGCTGCGGGGCGTGATTTCGCCGCCCAAGGTCCCGGGTTCGAGACCGCGCCCCGGCGGCCTCGATTTTATAGACGCGTTTTGAGCTCATGCGTCGCTGAACGGGACTCGAACCGCACGGTTGATCCCAGCGATGGATATATCGTTCGCAGAGCAATCCATTGGTGGGGTCACACGTTCGGTTCGAGTCCCATTTAGCGACTCTGGAGCTCAAAACGCGTCCGGAGTTTTGACCGCCTCCACCGGTCTTCTGGCCCACTGCGACACTCACCATAGGGGATGACGAGGCGGGCGGGCACATCCTGGACCCAGGCGCCGCCGACGACGGCCCCGACCAGCGCGACGACCGCGAAGAGGGCCGAGACGACGGAGAGCTGCAGCAGGTGCAGCCGGGAGGCCCGGAGGCCGGCCATGTCGCCGAGCCGCGTCTAGCGGTCCCCTGGAGGGGCGCCTGGAGGGGCGCTGGGCTCGCGGGGGCTCTCCCTGGGCTGGGCCGGTATCAGCATCTCGCTAGCCAGCGGCGTCGCTCCTGCAAAAAACAAACAGCCGAGTGGTTAGCGCGTTCGACTGCCAAGCCGCAGGACGGTGGTTCGAGTACAAAGTTCATCTCTCTTTTTTTCGCTGCGACGGCACGTGGAGGGCAAGACGACCCCGTGAGAAAGCCGCCGGGTGCCCTATTACGGACAGAGGGGGCAGAGAGGGAGACGGAGAGAGGGAAAAAAGTTGGGCACAGCGAGAATTATCGGGGAACGGAACGTATCACGTATCCGAAATGTGGGAAGAGGACAAGTGTGCCAAAAAGCGGCGACGGCCTCCTAGAAAGGGTACACCATGAAAAACGGCGCATAGTGGGCCACAGTGGAGGCGGTCGAAATCCTGTACGCGTTTTGAGCTGCTCCAGAGTCGCTAAATAGGGCTCGCTCAGCGACCCTGGAGCACAGACCGCGTCTAGAGCTTCGGCCGCCTCCACCGGCCTTCTGGCCCACTGTGCGGCGCCTCGAAAGACACCCGCCAGAAAGGCTAGGGCTGCGGGGCTCGCACCCAATGACTGCGGCGTCTGCACTGCAAAAAGCGCGGCCTCAGCACCCGGAACAGATTCCAGCGAGTGACCGACGTTTCCCCGTCTCTGCAATGAAAAGCACCAGGAAAAGGTCCACCGTCCGCTCGCCCGGTCTGTCTGTCTGTCTGTCCGCCTGCTACTAAATTATCATGCAGACGGGCAAGGAGCCTTTAGTGACTCGGCAGCGACTGAGGGGGCGCCTTCCCTGGCCTTTCCCTTCGGCCAAAAATCCTCCACCTCTTTCTGCCTTTTCCAGCACACGTTCGGCGCCTCGCCGAAAATCCTACTTCTAATGTCCGAACATCTCTGAAAGGATTATCCGATTCAAATTCCGGTTTTCTGTTGTTTTCTTCTAAGTCCTTTGCATGGCGATTGTAAAGGTCACTGATCGCAGGGTATAAAATAAATAAAGTTTTTTTTTTGTTTTTTTTTGTGAAGTTGGCTGTCCCGGCTTGGCCATGCGCCGCTACGCAGTGCTCGCCGCTCAGGTGGCAAGCCTGGCGTGGCGTGGCGTGGCCGTGCCGGGCTGGGTCCCTGGGGAGGCGCCTGTCAGTAGGGAAGGTGGTCGCCGGGCTGACCAACCGCACCGAGAGCACGGCCTAATGAACTGCCAATAATGTGTCTCATTAAGGAGCAACCGCTATTCGCAGGAGAAAATCACGTCTCGCTGGTCTTCACGGAGTCCTGCACAGGCTGGACCCCGCCGTTTTTCCCATGGTATTACCCCCCGCCCCCCACACACATACCAATACACAGATACAGAAGAGGGCGCACACACACACACACACACACACAACTTTAAAAGGTTCAGAAGTAACTCCAAATCTTGATCACCCACTTCCGATAAAGAAAGAAGACTATGCCCCCCTCTCTCTCTCTCTCTCTCTCTCTCTCTCTCTCTCTCTCTCTCTCTCTCTCTCTCTCTCTCTCTCTCTCTCTCTCTCTCTCCCTCTCTCTCTCTCTCTCTCTGGGCCCTGGGGCGCCGTCACCCGGGGGCCCTCATCCAACCAGTCACTCTGGGGCTCCGGGCAGAGAGGCGGGCTAAGGGGTGGAGGGGCGAAGGGGCCTTGACTGACAGCGCGTTCGGCTTTCATCCATTACGGTCCGGCCGCTTCCAGGAATGCCCCCTCCCACACGTGCCGGTGCATACGCAGTGCATGCGCGCGCTGCAGCGAGTCGCTTGCGTCGCTCTGTCTCTCTCGCACCCGTACGACGGGACGCCCCGCGAGGAAGACAGAGCGACGGAAACAACAACTCGGAGTCAGGCAACGTGTGACCCTACCAATGGATTCCTCGTTCGGAGAGCTATCCATTGGTGGGGTCACACGTTCGGTTCGAGTCCCATTTAGCGACTCTGGAGCTGAACATGCGTCCGGGATTGTCTCCACCGGTCTTCTGGCCCACTGTGCGGCACCGGAGGAAGGTGACGTCAGGATTTTCGAAATGACCGCGGGCCTTCCGGGGGAGATGGATCCCAACTTGGGTCCACACACAGTGTGCCACACTTACCGGGCCGCTCCGGAGAGCCTCAAGGTGCGAAGCGGTGCGAAGCGGTAACGGGAAGGAGAGCGAGATGAGCCGGGAACAGCGGAAAAGCGGCGAAAGTCGACCGATTTCACAGTGTCCTCGTCGCTCCGTCTCTCTCGCACTCACGGGGCGTTCCGCACAGGTGCGAGAGAGACAGAGTGACTCTCGGAATCAGTCTGCTAGCCTCCTCGGCGCACTCAAGGTTCCGGCACCCCTAAAGAGAACTCCGCGTCGACAAGAAAAACCACTCGAACTGCGCGTAGTTGCGTCTCCCCTCGAGCGGCCTCCGGCGGGCTGCCTCTCTCGCACCCCTGCGGCACGCCCCGACAGTGCGAGAGGGACGGAGAGAGGGGCCGGCGGCGGCCTCCGTCGCCAGCCCCCCCGGGCACGCCTGGGGCACGCCCAGCCGCAACACCGCGCTCAATGGAGTGGATTAAATCTTGCAACAACACGGCGACGAATTTTCAGCGCCGCCGGTCGGCGTCGAACCGCCGAAGCCGCACTCTCACAGTGGGCCAGAAGACCGGTGGAGCCGGCCAAAATCCCGGACGCATTTTGGGCTACAGAGTCACTAAATGGTACTCGAACCGAACGTTTGACCCCACCAATGGATTCCTCGCTTGCAGGGCAATCCATTGGTGGGGTCACACGTTCGGTTCGAGTCCCATTTAGCGACTCTGGAGCTCAAAACGCGTCTAGAGTTTTGGTCGCCTCCTCTGGCCCACTGTGGACCGTGGGTGAAGCTGGGCAAAGCCCGCGCACCTGGCATCCGCCGTTTCCATCAAGAGGCCAACTTTTCGCTCCGTTCCCGGAAAGCAGCCATCGCGCCCATCATCTCACCTAACTGAACCGGCCGCCCGGGCCGCGTCGACTCATCGCTCCGACCTCGCTATCGCTTCGAGCTATCGCTTCGAGCTATCGCGGCGAGCCATCGCGCCATCGCGCCATCGCGCCGCGGATTAGAGACGCCTCACAGTCGTTAGGCGACTAATTTCCGCTGTGCGGGCCGCCTACACGATAAGGGACTTCTTGAGGTCGATCGGGCCGGACGGGAGGTGTCGACTGCGTGTGTGTGTGTGTGTGTGTGTGTGCGTGCGTGTGCGTGTGTGTGTGCGTGCGTGTGTGTGTGTGCGTGCGTGTGTGGGCGTGTGCGTGACGGGTGTCGGTGCGTCACTATCATCGTCGCGAGGCCCTGGAACGGGCAAACTGCATCACGCTAACGACACGAGATTGGAGCCCCAAATCGGTGGAGCCGAGGCGAGCCTAGGGTGGCGCGCAGACTCGCAGCACGTCGTGGAAAAAGGGGGGGGGGGAGATGGGAGTCGCAGCGAGGGAACCGCGAACAGCGCCAAGCTCTCGACAAGTTTGGCGCCATTTGGGTCACGTGACGGGCCGTTCGGTGGAATAAAGATGACGTCATCGAGACAATCGAGGGGCGGGACGGGGATCGGCTTCGCCGGGGCCCTGGGCCTGGCCCTGCCTCCGCCCGAGCCGGGCTGGCACGCTGGCACTCACAAGGCGAGCTGGCCTTGGACGCTAGTTAAAAGTTTGCCGGCAACATGCTGCACCTAAGTCGCGCTGCGCCGCCAGCAATGAGGCGGCATTGTTTGGCGGAGAACAATCCTGCCAGCGTGTACACCCCACAGTGGGCCAGAAGACCGGTGGAGGCGGTCAAAACCCCGGACGCGTTTTGAGCTCCAGAGTCGCTAAAAGGGACGCGAACCGAACGTGTGACCCCACCAATGGATTGCTCTCCGAACGAGGAACCCATTGGTGGGGTCACACGTTCGGTTCGCGTCCTGTTAGCGACTCTGGAGCTCGAAACGCGTCTAGAATTTTGGCAAACTCGGATTGAGGGCGTAGGCGGCGACGCCCCACTGGAAAGCGCCACGCCGCGCGGCGACAGTCACGAAGCGGATCATCCTCACACACGCCGCGGCCCGCGTCCGCGCCGTCCACGCCGTCGTCCCTTCCCCAGTCCGGTCACGACGCGGGCCGCGCCGTCGCCGCGCCACCAGCACCGGAACTCGGGGCGGGGCGGGGCGGGGCGGGGCGGCCCTGCCAAGGGAAAGGGCACCGCGACTCGCGTCCAGGGGCCGCAGGGCCGCGGGGCGGCGGCAACGCGTGTTGCCAACTTGGGAATATTTTACATTCCTAGCGGCGACGGTGTGCCGGCGTGCGCCACGGCGTGTCCGCGAGGGGTTTCACTGCCCTACATCCTTTGTGCCTCAAACTCGCTTAGCCCTGCGACGCGAGCGACCGGCGGAGTGCGCGCGCCCACACGCGGACGACAACGCGTCGCGCAAGCACGTTTTTCGCGAATCATCATCGCCCCGCAAAACGGTGACGAAAAAAAAAGTGGACCGTTGTGCAACTTTGTCGCAAATCGGCCCCCCTACTCCGACCCTGCCGACAGGTGTGGGACCAAACAACGCGAGACACACACACAGACGCCACGAGCAAACATCTCGTTCAATATTGCTTCGCAGAGAGAGAGCGAGAGGGCCTATCTGCAAAGGAACAAAGAACTACTACTGCAAGGCACCACGATATTGCGATTCGTTCCAAACGCAACAACAACACCCGCCGGCAGCGCGGCAGTGTGCACCCATCCCCCAGCCGGCCCCACCAGCGGCGCAGCGGGACACTTTTTCCGGCGACCAGGACACTTTTCCTGGGAGTGCCAAGTACACTTCACGTTTAGAAAACACAGAAAGTATACTTCTCCAGGAACCACAAAAAGGAAACCACATATATATGCATTTTCTGGAGCCCTTCAGGACTGTAGTGATTTTCCAACGGGAACATCCAGCACACTCGTTGCGAAAGTACACTCCCCTCCAGCAGCGGCGGCACACTCCGCGCCCCGCCGGCTGCTTACGTATCCTCTCTTCCGAGACAAATCGCGCCTCGTTTCTCATTTGATTTTTCACGCGCGGGGGCATGGCGCTGACGGGGCGCCGAGCACACGCTCTTTACCCGTCCGCCTGTCTGTCTGTCTGTCTGTCTGCCTGTCTGCC